CTGAAGATCCCAGCTGTGACAACTAAGACAGAGATGCCTAATACCTAAGTAAAAATAAATAAATAAGTATTAGAAGTTGGAAAAGGTGCGAAAGCCGATCGTCCCCTAGAGCCTCAGAAGGAAGCCCTCTAGAAGCCCTCCGGACCTACTTTAAATGTCCGATCTCCAACACTGTAAGATAATGCATTTGTGTTGTTTTAAGGCATAAAGTTTATGTTAATTTATTACAGTGGCAATAAGAAACAAGTACAGATTTTGGTACCTGGAAGTGGGGTGCTGCTAGGCAATCATGTATGCTAAGTTGCTTCAGTCCTATCCAATTCTTTGCAACCCTATAGCCCACCAGGCTCCTCTGTCCAAGGGGATTCTCCAGGCAAGAATACTGGAGGGGGTTCATGTGCCCTCCAGGGGATCTTCCTGACTCAGGGATCAAACCCAAGTGTCTTACATCTGCGTTGGCAGGAAGGTTCTTTACCACTACGCCACCTGGGTAGCCAGGGGTGCTGCTAGAACAAACACTGGAAAATATAGCAGTGGCTTTAGAATGGGGCAATGAGAAGAGGTTGGAAGAATTTTGAGAATGGTAAGAAAAGCCTAGGTTTCCTGGAACAGACCCCTGGCTGCTACAGAATATGAATTCACTACACTTGGCCTTCCCTCCTAAAACAGGGCCTCTTGCCAGAGCTTTGTGCTCAGAGATTCATTGTGCAAGGAGCAAGGAATCCCATGCTTAGCTGGTGCTGAAACAGATGGACCCAAGGTTTTCTGAAAGTGAATAGATATGCCTTGAAAAGGGAATGTGAACAGATTATTTTGGGGACTTGAGCACACGCATGGCCTCTCTCTCAGCCTCCCGTGGTTGCAGACCCTCCACTTCAAATCTGCCTGACATTAGAAGATCTGTTGCTCTGTAAGCTAGAGGATGATGCCCCCTCTGTTTGCACTCACTCTGTTTTTGCCTCCTGGCATCCGAAGTCGAGTGATCAAGGCTGAGGATTGGAGGAGGGAAGGAGGAGCAAGGGAGACTGTCGGACCTGGCACAAGGGTCAATGAGTGCCTTTAATAGCTACCAATGAATTGTCTGTTGACTGATAGACTCCCAGGGCACTTGGGGAGCATCCCTTGGGACTTTGATGGAATCCCTCAGCCAGAATCAGGGTCTCCGGGACAGGCTCAGGAGTCTGAAAGCAGAATCCCCTCTTCCTCTTCCGCTCTAGGTGGTAGAAATGAAAGCTTTCCAAAAGACACACTCCTGGATCCCAAAACCGAGGTTCTGCTGAGTTTCTATTTGTAACACATCATTGTTGTTTTGTTGTTTAGTCACTAAGTCGAGTCTGACTCTTGCGACCCCATGGACTGTAGCCCACCAGGCTCTTCTGTTCAAGGGATTCTCCAAGCAAGAGTACTGCAGTGGGTTTCCATTTCCTTCTCCAGGGGATCTTTCCGACCCAGGGATTGAACAAGCATCTCCTGCATTGGCAGGCAGATTCTTTACCACGGAGCCACTGGGGAAGCAGTATGCCATTATCCCCATTTTATTGATGGAAACTCAGAATATTCAACCTGCCCTAGGTGAGAGTCAGTGACAGCTCTGGGATTAGGACTCCAGTGTCCTTCTGTCAATCAATGGTCTCCCTGCTGCCAAAGACACTGTCTGATCTAACTTGATACACCACCCATCTCCCCACCAGAGTGGCCTGGGAATCTGCAATTTCACCATGCAGAGTTTATTCAATAGGGCAAGATATCCACTTTCTTTAGTGGAGGAGCTGTCTGTGTCTACGTGGGTCGAATGCCTCACAAGGAGATTAAATGCCGTGCAAGAGAATAGACACCTTAGGTGGACACTCAGGAAAAAGAGGCTCATCCATCTAACTGGATATTTGCAGGTTCCTGGAGTTGGGACTGGGACATAGTGGAGGGGAGCAATGCATTCTGGTTTCAGACAAGCTGTCCCCTTAAAATGTGGGTTGTAGAAGGGACTTCCTCTTAAGCCGCGGTCCTTCTGCTCCATCTAAAACACCCAGCCTTTCACTCTGCCCAGCTCATGCTTCCAGTGTTACCTCTTAGACTGCGTATTCAGACATTTGCCACTTTTTGCCTGAACCGCAGTAGTAGCTTCTCTCTTGTCGCTACTTATCCAGGTCTGCATGAAGCCCATGAGCTACATTTACTGAAACTCATGTCTGAACCTCGGAGCATGTCCTTTCTCACTGGACCAATCATTCCCAACATCTCCTTTTAACCTACGAAGTTGGATATTAACTTGCCACCTTGATATTTAAAACTCTCTTCTCAAGCTTTATTTCTCATCTTATCCATCACTGGAAAGGCACGGACCTCAATTCCCATCTAATTGTTTTTCTCCCTCTTTGATGGACACGTCAACATCACTTTTACCTCTAGGTATTTGCTCTCACTCTTTTCCTTTCCTTTTTCTTTTTTTCTATTTCTTTTCACCCCATGTAGCTTGTGGGATTTTCGTTTCCCCACCAGGGATTGAACCCAGGCCCTCAGCAGTGAAAGCATGGGCTCCTAATGACTGAACCACTAGGGAATTCCCTCTCTTCTTCTTCATGATCTGGAAAGTTCTCTAGAAAAGTCTCATTCAATCATCAAAGATAAGTTCAAGTCATGTCTTCCTTTTTTTAAAAGAATTTTTGAAGTAGACCATTTTTAAAGTCTTTATTGAATTTGGTACAACATTGCTTCTGTTTTTTTAATTTTTTTTTTTTTTTTTTGGCCTTGAGGTGTGTGGGGTATTAGCTCCCCAACTAAGGATTGAACTTGCAGCCCCTGCATTGGATGGCAAAGTCTGAGTCATATCTTCTTAATTTATCTTAGCAATGGTCGTTTCCCAATGTCTCCAGTGTGTGTATAACTCCAAGTTGGAGGATTAATTGGAGGGGGAGAAATTAAGGGAAAGTAACCGAGTTAGGGGGAAGTTGCAATAGATTGTGAGAGAGGGTGAGGGCTGTGAAGACAACAATGGTGGTGAGCTGGCTGCTGCTACACAGGGGACAAGGGTCACTGGGATTGGGGCAGATGATGTTGGCATGACAGTGATGAAATGCCTGATTGCGTCCTGCCTTAAAAATTCTTCTGTAGGAACTCAGATGAGCTCACCTGGTGAAACAGACCACAGCCAGTTCACATTCTTATTCTTCCCAAACATGAGCCTCACACTTTGAAACCCTGCTCCTCCCCCATCAACCAAGATTATACTCAGTTTTTAAGTTTCCTTCAAGAAAAGGCCAACAGTCAGGTTTTGTACAAAAATATATATGTGTATTTTTTCAATAGTTACATAATATATATTTCCACAATAGCAGTTTTCACAATGACTTAGAATGTAAAACCAAAAGTTCTTGCATTAATCATTCTTGTGAGGACTCTTCCACCATCCCAGGGGTAGAATTGAGATTCACAAAGGAAAGAAATTTGCCCAAATCTCCATAAAAACAAACAAACAACCAAAAAGAAAACAAAAACAAAAAAACACTAGTAGTCATGGAAGATAAAGCATCAATAACTTAAATAAGATTAACATTACTTAAGGCATCATGTTTCATATCAATAAAGTTCATACTCTTTAAAATTATAATAAGGTAATGTCAGAGGGCAGTTAGGAAAAGCCAGAACACAAATTGTCTTCAGATTCTTGGGTTGTGGAGTGAGTGCTCAAAGCTTCGGAGTTTGGTTTTTCTTGTCGAGATGGTTTATGGAGTCCTGGACCCATTTCTGCTTGGGGTCTGCACATATCTCCTTGCCCAGGATGGTCTTGAAACTGCAGAGGAGAGAGAGAGGGTAAGGTTAGATGGAGTTCTATTGAAATCTCAGCCTACAAATGTAGCCCATTTGCCCCAAAGCTGCCATGGGAACTCAAGGAGGAAAGCAGGTGGAAGGAGGGAGCCCATGACAAGTTGATCATAATAGATGTCCCAGTTGAAACCATCCTGACTTCAGGCTAAAGAACCTGGGATGGCCTGAATGAGCACCCAGAGGGAGCGTGATGTTGGGGGGCACTTTTGGATATTGGATTAGATGATGTAACTCTCTGACGTCACGTTTGTGTGAGCCTTGCCCCTTGCACCCTGAGGAAGAACTGGACCCCCGGAGGGCTGGTGTCCTCAACTTACATCACAGCTTCTTTGGGACACTTGCTGCTGGTGGCTCTTCTGTAGCTCGTCAGCCTCTGTGTGGGAATCTTCTTATTGGTGAATGTATAGCAGCAGGTGACTTGGGAGTTAATTGCATCTGGAAATACAACCACAAAGAAAAAGCATTTTAGAATGGACTAGGTTCTTTCCGATCTCAATCAGAGCAGAAAAGAGGAGTAAAGAGAAGGCAAAAGGGCATCAGGAGTGCAGGGAGAACCCTTTAAATCCTAATATTTCAGCTTGTGCTTCAAAGCTACAGTATCAGATGGACTCAGTTTCCTAAGCCCTAAAATGGGCATATAGCACTGACAATGAACTGAAGGAGGGGAGCTTTGTTAAAACTAGATAATTTTGGTAAATTCTGTAAGTAGGAGCAAGTAATCCAAGTTATCAAAGTGAGCTAAGGGTCCCCTTTAGGTAAGAAGAAATGGATGCTTGGTTGTGAATTTCCCTGATACCCACTCTCTCTGCAAAACTGAGTCTCTGGAGTCCAGATTTCGGATCTTCTCCTCTGGCCTCCGTAGTATCTGGATATACTCTGCCAAAGACCCCCTCTCCTTGTATCCCAGTCCCCACATGCTGCTGGAAGGAGCCAGGGCACATGCGCTGGGCTCAGGTTTCCAGAGCCGGAATTCTGGAAGGAGCTGGATTTGAGGTCCACAGCTGGAATTCTCATCCAGGCACCGTCCAAGAGAAGCTGTGTGATCAAGCTCACTCCTATGCCTCTCGGACTTTCCTGATCTTGTAGTGAAAGTGAGAATGCAGGTACCCTTCTGCTCTGCTGGCCCATCGTGACCCAGAGAGGGGACGGCGGGCTTCAGAGGGAAGAAGGGGGCTCACCTGGCTGAGCGAGCACCTCGGTACTGAAGGCAGCTACTGTGAGCAGCAGGCACAGGAGGGCAGCGGAGACCTTCATGTTGCAGCGAGAGGATTCAAGCTTCAGCGTGGGAGCTGTTGGTCTCTGGATTGGTCTCAGCCTCTCTGCTCCTCCAGTGGCTCTGCCTGCCTTTTATTGAACAACCGAGAGGGTGGAGTCCATGAGAGAGTGAGGCTGGCCCCTGGCGGCATCCTCCTCAATGAATGACGAAGTGGAATCTTAAATGTGCTGAGCAAGTGAAGCAGCCAGGACATTTCCAGGAAGTAGGAGAGGCAAGCAGTGGGTCAGGACTGGGCAATTTTCCATTTGCAGCTGAGATCAAAAGAAAGGGGGAGGGGCAGGGTGCAGTTATATCCTGAGACCGCAGACGTAAACCAAATGGTTTATTCTTAAGATTCCCCTTTTCTGAAGTGAAAACTCTGCAGAAAAGAAAGGAAGCCAGGGAAATAGAAGTCACAAGGATGCTGAAAGAAAGTATTCTCCGCCAAACTCCCCTCCCAGCCAGGCTGCCACATTTAGCAGAGGTCCCTGTGCTATTCAAAAGGTCCTTGTCGGTTATCCACTTAATAAATATAGCAGTGGATCACTATGTGCATAATAAGAAATGGGTTCTATTGAGCAAATGACTGGTCCACCCTCAGCAACAGTCCAGGGACCTTCAAGCCAGGGAGGAGTCCTAAAGTCTTGGCAGGCACCCCCAATAACGTATGAAATCCTTTTGCTCTTTAAAACGTAGGATGGTGGTACAAGTGAAGCTTAGTAGAACTAGAGGGTTTTTTTAAACTATAAAACTGAATTCTATTAATAGAATCATCAGATTTAAGATGTGGAAGAAGCCATCTAGATCATGCAGATGTAATACTCATGCATTACTTAACTCTGCACTGGGAATATTCAGTACTCCAACCCCATCCATAGGTATTGTTCACTTCCATTTTATAGTCAGAAAGCCCAAGTACAGAGCAGTTAAGGAACCTGTTCAAGTTCCCCCAAACAAACCCCAGTGTCTCTGCTGTCACGGCTAGGACATACTTCGAGATGAAGGGGCACATTCTCTAGCTGGCTGCCTGATCATCTATCTGGATGCCCTCCGGCCTCAATCTCTGCCAAATCAGCAGACATCTGAAAGGGAGTTGAGGACATTCCTTGCGGTTAAGTTATTACAGGAATCTGGAACCTGCGGTTAGCATGGCAGGCAGACAAGACAAAGTAAGAGGCGTGTCCTCGGCTATGGCAACTATTATCCCAGCTTCTTTAGGATTCCCAAGGAGAAGGCGTGAGTCAAAGAACAGTCTTCCTGGAATTAGAATGGCTGCTTTCATGCTGCAACTCCACCTTAGACTTCCTCAGAAACCCCAGGATCCGTCATAACACCTGAAAGACCTTAGTGTTTATTTCATTGAACTCTTTTCTTTCACAAATATGACGGAATTCCTTGAGGCATGCTGGTGGCTGAGCCAAGACTCGGATTCAGGCCTCAACTCCCCTGATTCCACTGCCTCATGATTCTGAGCTTGCTTGGCTTTGCCCAGTGGGCATGGAAGGCCCTGCTGATCCTTCTTTCTCGAAGAGTCTTTAAGACAATGTCTTTGAAACATATGGAACTTTTGGGAAGAACTGTCTGCCAATCACTGCATTTGTTTCTGTTTGTTTGTTTTTTGAACTTTTTATTTTATATTGGAGTATCGCTGATTAACAATGTTGTGATAGATTCAGGTGGACAGCAAGGAGACTCAGTCATACAGACACATGTATCCATTCTCCCCCAAACTCCGCTCCCATCCAGGTTGCCCCATAACGATGAGCAGACTTCCCTGTGCTATTCAGAAGGTCCTTGTTGGTTATCCATTTAATAAATATAGCAGTGGATCACTGTATTTCTAATAAGAAATGAGTTCTATTGAACAAATGACTGTGTCTGGTCCCTAGCTAATGGTCAGTAATGGCAAAGAGGAGTAGCTGACATCATTGAGTGTTTCCCAGGAGCCAGACCCTGTGCTGGGGTGACTGGCGACATTGTCTCATTGGTCCTCCAAACAACCCAACTTGCTTTATGTTGAAATGGAAGTTAACTAGCTTTGTCTAGGATCTCACAGGTAGTAGCAGGTGGGACTGAGATTCTCATCCAGGACACTTGGATACCAGAAACTTCCTGGCACAAGGCTTAATGTGTCAGGATGGATATTGATTTCCTAGAGAATCTAAGAGATGGTTTGGGAATACATGCTTGAAGTTACGCATAGTCTCCATTCCCGAAAACTCTTGATTCGTTCAGTAAGAATGGACTGAGTCATTGGCAGAGCACTGAGCCAAACAGAGATCTCAACCTAAGTTTGGGGCCCCGTGGGAGAGAGTTAGAAAGAGTCAGACAGAAGGCAAATAGGGCTCCAAGAGGAGTGGAAGCAAAGAAGTGTACAAGTTAATCTGTCCTCTTTGTCCTGCCTTTTGGAATTACATCCAAGAATCTGGAATGGCCTATCTGATTTTAATATACTGTCTAGGTTCATCAAAACTTTCCTTCCAAGGAGCAAGTGTCTTCTAATTTCATGGATGTAAAAAAAAAAAAAAATTTCATGGATGTAGTCACCATCCTCAGCGATTTTGCAGCCCAAGAAAATGAAACCTGTCACTATTTCGTATCTTCCCCTTCTGTTTGCCATGAAGTGATGGGACTGAATGCCAAGATCTTCATTTTTTAATGTTGAGCTTCAAGCCAGCTTTTTCACTCTTCTTTTTCAGCCTCATCAAGAGGTTCTTTAGTTCCTCTTCACTTTCTGCCATTGGAGTGGTATCATTAGTGTATCTGAGCTTGTTGATATTTCTTCTGGAAATCTTGAGTCCAGCTTGTCCTTCATCCAGCCCAGCATTCTGCATGATGTACTCTGCATATAAGTTAAATAAGCAGGGTGACAATATACAGCCTTAACATACCCCTTTTCCAATTTGGAATCTGTCTGTTTTTCCATGTCCAGTTCTAACTATTGCTTCTTGACCTGCATACAGGTTTCTCAGGAGACAGGTGAGGTGGTATTCCTATCTCTTTAAGAATTTTCCACAGTTTGTTGTGATCCACAGGCAAAGACTTTAGTGTAGTCAGTGAAGCAGAAGTAGATGATTTTCTGGAACTCCTTTGCTTTGTCTATGGCTGTTGGCAAGTTGATCTCTGGTTCCTCTCCCTTTTCTAAATCCAGCTTGTACATCTGAAAGTTCTCAGTTCACATACTGCTGAAGCCTGGCTTGAAGAATTTTGAGCATAAATTTACTAGCATGTTTAATGAGCAAAATTGTGTGGTACATTGAACATTCTTTGGCACTGTACTTCTTTGGGATTGGAATGAAAACTGACCTTTTCCAGTCCTGTGGCCACTGATGAGTTTTCTAAATTTGCTGACATATTGAGTGCAGCACTTTCACAGCATCATCTTTTAGGATTTGAAATAGGTCAGCTGGAATTCCATCACCTCCACTAGCTTTGCTCATAGTAATGCTTCCTAAGGCCCACTTGACTTCACACTCCAGGATGTCTGGCTCTAGGTGAGTGACCATACCATTGTGGTTTTCCTGGTCACTGAGACCTTTTTGTATAGTGTTTTCTTGCCACCTCTTCCTAATCTCTGCTTCTGTTCGGTCCATACCATTTCTGTCCTTTATCGTGCCCATCCTCGCATGAAATATTCCCTTGATAGCTGCAATTTTCTTGAAGAGATCTCTAGTCTTTCCCATTCTATTGTTTTCCTCTGTTTCTTTACATTGTTCTTTTAAGAAGGCCTTCTTATCTCTCCTTGCTGTTCTCTGTAACCCTGCATTCAATTAGGTGTCTCTTTCTCTCTTGTCTTTCACTTCTCTTCTTTGCTCAACTATTTGTTAAGCCACCTCGGACAACAACTTTGCTTTCTTGCTTTTCTTTTCCTTGGTGATAGTTTTGGTCATCCCCTCCTGTACAGTGTTATGAACTTTTGTCTGTAGTTCTTCAGGCACTCTGTCTACAGATCTAATTCCCTGAATCTATTCTTCACCTACACTGTATAAACATAAGGTATTTGATTCAGACCATACCCATATGGCCTAGTGACTTAACCTACTTTCTTTAATTTAAGCCTGAATTTTTCAATAAAGAGCTTATGATGTAAGCCATGGTCAGCTCCAGGTCTTGTGTTTCTGGCTATAGATCTTCTCCATCTTTGGCTGTAAAGAATATAATCAATTTGATTTTGGTACTGACCTTCTGTTGCTGTCCATGTGTAGAGTCATTTCTTGTGTTGTTGGAAAAGGATGTTTGCTATGACCGATGTGTTCTCTTGACAAAATTCTCTTAGCCTTTGCCCTGCTTTATTTTGTACCCCAAGGCCAAACTTGCCTATTACTCCAAGTATCTCTTGACTTCCTAGCTTTTCACTCTAATCTCCTGTTATGAAAAGGACATCTTTTTCCTGGTGTTCGTTCTAAAAGGTCGGTCTTCCCTGGTAGCTCAGACAGTAAAGAATCTGCCGGCTGTGCAGGAGACCTGGGTTTGATCCCTGGGTCTGGAAGACCCCTGGAGAAGAGAATGGAAACCCACTCCAGTATTCTTGCCTGGAGAATTCCATGGACGGAGGAACCTGGCGGGCTACAGTCCATGGGGTTGCAAAGAGTCAGACATGAGTGGGTGACTAACACTAGAAGGTCTTGTAGGTCTTCATAAAACCAGTCAGCTTCAGCTTCTTTGGCATTAACAGTTGGGGCATAGACTTGGATTACTGTGATGTTGAATGGTTTGCCTTAGAAACCAAGGCTCTACTCCAATATAAAATAGAGTTTTTTTAAAAGCTGAATTGGACTATGATAGCTCAATAAATAAATAAAGGTGTTGAGATCTTGAGACTGCTTTCTCCTGATTCTGCCAGGCTATTATCATGCCTTGTCCCCTAACCAAAGGCCCTGTAGACATTCTGTAGTAAATCTCCTCATTTTGTGTAAGGAGATCAGATTCTTGCTACAGGCAGAAACAGGTCAAGCTGGCCTCTGTTTGCACATGGTCACTCAGAGAAGTTTTCTGGTTT